GGCTTCATGGCAAATGTTTGTTTCATTCAAACCTTTGGGGCAAATGTTGACAAAACTGCAGCGGGCCATCGTAAAAGACGTCCACCAAACTGCTGTTTTACTGGATGTTTTGCTTTGAGCGGGAATTTAGACTACACTTGCAAAACTTGTTGATTTCATTTTAAAATGAGCGCTTCACAAATTAGGTGTTTGATTGCGCTGCATTGAAGGAGAAGAATAGATTTTTGGTGCGTACCAAAAAAATCAGTCACTTTCAAGCATGACGATACCCTCGGTAGGGTTTTGGAACGTGTAGTTACGCCGCGTTGCGTTATAAGGGACGTCTGCGCCACTTTGGAGGTTATATGGATATTGGATACCTTTGTTTACAACTCAACACATTGTAGCTGTGTTTCCTCTGTTAACTGAATTACTCCCGAGTCCCAGTCAGGTCTTTTTTTTTAACAGCGAAACGTTTAGCAACGAGATCAGCCATTTTCGAGAAAAAGAGATAACGATGTAATTTTGATTTATTTATTAGCACAGCGGCACTCTGACGTGTTGAATGCAATCCGCGGTGCTCGAAAAAAAATAGATGACATGACTGAGCTCGGCATGCTGAGGTGTATGCAAGAGAAAATAAAAGTAGCTTACGAAAATTACTGCAATGTACATTACACAATGCCACAAAAAAAAACGCTGCAGATTCTGTTTTCCGAATGTGACTTGCAAAATTGCACGCCAACATTGACGTGTTTATTGCGTATTGCGTATGTTCGCTAAAGCTGTGATAGTCTCTTGTAGATAAGACTGGCCAACAGTGATAAAAAACTCAGCATTAATGTTTCCTAACACAAAAGTTGCTTCAATGATAAAATGAAATGTCTATTTTTAGGTCAATTTTTAGAGACATGTGCCTAAAGGTGGGCACGGCCTCTTGTGGCCTGGCAGTGGGGATGAGACTGACCCAAGGTCCCTATGTTAGGTCAACAAGTCCACACCATTTGTGGTCAAACATCCATTTAAAGCGTTAAATCTTCCCAAATGATCATAATTAACATGTCGTGTAACTCATACATGCAAATGGAACATTTCAAATGATTCGGAAAAGGGAATTTTGACTTTCTACCCAACACTGACTGCATGCAAACGTAGTGGCTGACTCCTCATTCCCCAACAGAAGACGCTGCATATCAGGAGCAACTGGGGGTTCGGTATCTTGCTCAAGGACACTTTGAAATGGTCACATGGGCAGAGGATCTAACCCACAACCTCTGGGTTGGGAGACGACCACTCAACCATTGAGCCGTGCTGCCCCTCGAATGGTGTGAGGGCAGATTTTTGTTTGAGCTCACTGACATGAGTCATGTCCTGTTTGTTTTATGTTGTGGGTGGTTTGACTTCTTGAGTAATCGGGTAAATAACCTCTAGTTTTTGGGAAACTGGAGTCTGAAATGATTCACCAGTCCAAATCACATGCGTGTAAAACTGCGATACACACACATTTAATAGTAGATTGACAAATTTAATTAGCAGAGATTGAATCAAGTGTGATGTGTGTTTCTCAACTAACTCTCATGGATTAACCTTCAAATCTCAAACACTCTGTACTCATCCTGTCTCAGGCAAGAACAAATTAAGTCAAGTCAGAGAATGTCTCAAGTCAAGCTCTGTGATAAATCGTCCAAAGTCAACTTAATCCTGTTTTACCTGCGATGTCTGATATTCATAAACACAGAAGACAAATCAGGTCAAATAATTATATTACATCATAATAATGCCGCCTCCATGAGTCATCACCTTATCGTGGTGCGTGTCCCAGGAGCTACATTGTCTGAGCCTTGATGCACCTGGCAAGGTCACGCATGGCCAACAGATCTTAGGTGAGGAACCAGACAAAGCACGGCTGAAAAGAACCCTATGATGAATCAAAATATTGGATTATGTTTTCCCTTTTCGGGGCCCTCCTCTGGAGCCAAGCCTGGAGGTGGGGCTCGATGGCCCAAATGGACAGCCTTCTTCCCTCTTCCCATGGGCTCATCACCTGTGGGAGGGGAAATGGGGGTCGAGTGTAACGTGAGCTGGACGGTGGGCGGAAGCAGAGACCTTGGTACCCAATTCCTGGCTACAGAAGCATGGTTCTAGGAACGTGGAACGACAAAAAAGCAAGTGCACCTTTAACATTCCACATATGAACTTTCAACAAAGCATGCAAAGCCTGTGGCATATATGATAGAAACAAAATATGAGCAAGATCAGAGACTTTTGTATTTGGACTCTTGTCATCTCGTTTATATTCTCGGTTTGACTACAACTTTGCCTTTTGCAAGCGCTTTTTGTTGATGCACTGTTTTTCCTGGCTCCTTGTGACCAGTGGTTTCTGTTTGTACTTTCTCTGTGCACTTTTCTGTCAATAAATATTTTTTGTTATTTTGTCTGAGTCTGCATTTCTGGGATCCAAAAAACATTATTCGGTTCAGTTCTGAACCTGACACTTAGACTGATAGTGATCATTATACTGTGGCCGGTTGGTGTACAGAAGTACAGTATTTACTTCTGTGCAAAAGTGTGTCTTCACAAACAATAATCTGACTAAATGTCATCCATTTTATAATAATTCTGGTTATTTGAGTTTGTTGTGCATGACCCTGCTTTGCTCAATCAAATTGAGTCAAACAACCTACAGTAACACTTCAACCACAGCTTTGGCCTGAGTATTAAAGCAGAAGCGACCTCAGCAGATGTGACGTTACAAAAACATCATCACAAGAGTTGAACAGATTTATCTGAAATGGTGTGCTGGGGGTGGGGGGAGCACAGAGCTCCTCAGTGTTGCTTACAGCTGAAATAACCTCCCCTGGCGATTTGAGAACTGTGCTCCATGATGATATCAGCTGGAACAATGAAGTGAACTCTGACCCTCAGCCAGAGCCCGATCAAGTGGTGGATTTGCTGATTAAATATTTTTCAGCTCCAGGAAATCGCCTCACACCTGTTTGGCCATTTGGTGGTCACCAAAACAACAAGTTGGTGAAATGTGTGTCACTAAAAAGATAAATTAGGAGCGAAACCCAATACTGTATTGCTTTGGACAGCGCAGATATATACATACACAAGACATAGCTGCAGATGATCATTGTTGCCGCTCTCTTTTGACCATTTTAAAAAAATGTTGCTGCATGTAGTGAAAACTTTGCTCCACATTTGTCAATGCCGTACGGCATTTTGAAACGAGCAGGTTGGAGCACTGAGGTCCTCTTGATAACAATTATGGCAGTTATCTTGATGGACAGATAAGTGTGAATGCCAAATCAATGAAATGCACTGCGTGCCATCTCAAAGGTTGCTGTTCCAGATAAAAGTCATTCCTCTGAGAGGCCCCGTTTTAGTCTTGATCAGCAGCTCTGAACTCAGCTGATATGTAGATCGTGCTTATCACACTTGTCTGTACAATGCTGTACAATCACTCCGGAGCTTGGACCGGTCAATGTTCTATCGTTAGCTTACAATGTAGTCTCTTTATATTGTGGGGAGTACAAATATATATATCCATCCCACTGCTGACACTCTGGCTTTAATTGGTGTCAAACAAATGGGTGAAGCTTCCAACGACATTTGAAGTTGTCACCCCTCAGTCTGAATGATCCTGTCGATCGGGTCATAACAATATAAAGTCCGGCTAAATTATGTGTTGGTGTTAGTTTAATTAATAATTTCAAAATGGGCACATAGCCAATTGATGACAGTGATTTAGATAACACTCAATAACCTAATTTAAAGTTCAAGCTTTCCTTTGATACGTTGACATATTAATGAATGAGGACACATTAAAACTAAAACAAAAGTGGAGCACATGAAACTTTTGTATAGCTGACCTCAAGAAACATGATGATGTCACATTGAAGTTTTCCAAGACACCTCCACGTGATCTCATTCCATCTCACACGCTTATGTCGATTACGTTGGATAATTTACAGCAACTATGATTTCAAATGTAATTACTTGTGGCGAAAGACATTTGAATAGCCACACAATTGGAGACATCTCTACAATCATCCCGCTTCCTTAAAGTGAATTGCATGAAGCCACTGTGACAAAGTCCACTGAGCGATAGGACAACAAACAACAGCATGGCACACAACACTCTTTGACCTATTAATCAAACTTGTACTGTCCCCCCCACACACACGTATGCACGCCCCACGCACGCATGCACACACACTCACACAGAAAAACACACAGCCTTTTAATACCAAAGTTTTTGCTCTCTCACTCCATCCTAAAAATCATGATCTTCCCATCGCATACTGAGAATTTGATCTCGCTTCATGATTCATGCACCTGGTACGGTGTACGTCAGTGAAAGTATGCACACGAGCGCAAGCTTTTGAAACTGAAAGATAAAAGGAGTGCATGCTTCAGTTCCAAAATGGGCATAACAGTGACTGTTTGTGGTACAATATATATTTGATTCTTGCGAGGTCTACTATCCTTGTGAGTTTGTGATGATTAAAAGGAATCTTACATGTATGTCCTGCCTGTGTTTGCACCAAGGTGAATGGCTCATCTGCTGCAAACAAAATGCCTAATCCAACTAATACAAATACCGTTGACTCGAGTCATCTGAACTTTCACCTTCTTTTCCCGTATTTGCTTGTCCCGTATTCTAACGGCCTTTCCCAAAACACTGAAGTTCAACCTTGTTTTGTGTTACAAATTTTTACATTTAGATCATAAAGTCATTTGCTTTACGGTACACCTCTCATTAGTTTGTTGAATGAGTTACACCTCTCATTAATTTGTCATTTAGTGAAATTCAAGTGGCACATGCCCTATAGTTGGAGAAGAATCAAGAGATTCAAGTCTTTCACTTCTGGAAGAGTGTGTGCATGCGGAGTGATCTCGCAGCAGGTGACCATTGAACTCTCCATTTGGTCCCCTGCTGAGGGAATTGGCTGGGGGTGAGGTCCACTTCCACGGAGACACACTGCTCCCACACCTCCCCTCCCTCCTCCATGCAACATCTCATCCCATATCCGAGCACTATATAAGGTCTGCCCCTTCTCAAGTTGTCAGTCTCGTCAAGAACTCCACCAGGTAAGGCAAGCTCGAGCTACAACTGGGATTTGGGGATGTAGAACAAGGACGTCGGATAAAAGAACATCTCGGTTTATTCGACAGACTGCGCGGGTTTTCTGCTCGCTGCAAAATTATGGCTCATGTTTTTTAAAATTTTTCTTCTGGAGCTCCTCTTTTTACAGTGTACAAACCTTCTAGTCAAGATGATGCGGAGATTTACAGGCTAATTGCATGATTGTGTCGGAAAGGCCCGGATTGACATTAGCAAGCAGTCCAAATCAATCCGTTCCTCATGGGAGCACATCACAAGTTCATTTAATTTTATGGGCATTGGTTGAGCCCTGATTCTTTGCTTAGACAAAACCACAAGTTGATAATAATTATTCATAATGGATTCAAGAATTTTTGCGTCTTTGCTGGTGTTCAAACAACAATATAACCAACCACCCTTGCCTTTTCACTTCAGACCTCCATCATGAAGTTTGTTGCTCTCGCTGTCACCTTGCTGCTGGCGGTTGGTGAGTACAGGACTTAATGCAACTCTGATCGGTAGATACCATCTGACTGAATGTGCTGGTTTTCTTTGTGAAACTCATCCCTGCACATATGTTTTCCTACACAGGGTCTCAGGCTGCTTCGCTGCAGTCTGACGCACCCAGCGCCGTAGCCCATGCCCGGGCTGCTCTGGACGTCTATTTGACCGAAGTGAAAGAAAGTGCCCAAAGAGCCCTGGGTCAACTTGATGATACAGAGTACAAAGAATTCAAGTACGGCAATTTCATGAACATTTTTCTAGCCAGTCCTACCCTCTGTTTCATCTCGCAATGAAACTATGCTAATGATCTCATGTTGATTCAGTTTTATAACTTTCACATTTCAGGGGTGGGGGAAGTAGTGGAGGCATTTCATGCCTTGTTAAAAAGTGATGTTTTTCTCCTTTTCCCTGTTCTTAACCAGAGACTTAATCAGTTCGCGCATAGAGGAGTTGCACACTCAGCTCAAAGTTGTGCAAGGTTCCATTTCTCCCATCACCGACGGTGTGGTTGCTACAATCTCTGAACTGACTCAAGATTTCCAAACTAAGGTCAACGCTGATATTGATACCTTGAAGGTGCAACTCAAGCCACTGAATGCAAAACTGCACGACGTTGTTAACAAGCACGTTGAAGAGTACCGTACACTTCTGGAGCCTGTGGTCACAGAGTACCAGGCCAAGCATGAGGCCGAAATGGCGAGTCTGAAAGCCAAGCTGGAGCCCGTCATGGAAGAGCTGCAGAAAAAGATAGCTGTCAACGTTGAGGAGACCAAGAGTGCTCTCACGCCCATCATTGAAGCTGTGCGTGAAAAGGTTACTCACCGCCTGGAGGATCTGAAAGAAATTGCAGCACCTTATGTGCAGGAATACAAAGACCAGATGCAAACCGCCTACAAACAAGCAAAATCCGTCACAGCAGAAGACCTCGCTGCCATGAAAGAGAAGATAAACCCTCTTGTTGAAGATGTCAAGGCGAAACTCCAAACTATCTTCCAGACCATCTTTGAAACCTTCAACGGAAAGGCAGAAGATTCATGAATACATACACACTTAGCACAGGCGTGCTTTCGTTGTCACAAACCAAGGCCAGTTACTGACCTTTTTTTTTTGTCTATGTATTCATTGTAACTGGGTTATCACGAGCGGATCTGTGATGACGGATGTCTCATGAAAACTGCTTGGGCAAAAGACAGCTGAATAAACATCTTCCTGTTTATGAAACCTTTTTTGGATTGACTGATTGATTGTCTTTGCTTCAACCATTCGAATGAAGTAGTATTCAAATTTAAATGGAAATAACAACATACATTTATCTATGAGGATAAACAAGGAAGAAGATAAACAGAAATTAAAAGTATGGCAAAGGCAAAGCAGACATGCATGAAAAAGGGGGTAGGAGGAAGTTTACACTTAGAATAGGTGAAAGAGTCATATATATATATATATATATATACATACTTAAATATGATTTTTTTTCAGATCTCAAAAAGTTTTTGCGGGTGCCAGCGTTGCCTTTTCCATGGAAACCGGGTCGAAATGGCCCTCTGAGTGTAAATGGTTGCCGAGCCCTGGTCAAACCCATGTAACAATGTGTGACTCTACGGTCTTAACTGGATTCAACAAGCAACTGTGCCAAAGAGTCCCATAGTAATGAGGGCCAAGTAGAAGTAGAAAGGTCAGTTTTTTACCCACTGTGACCAACCAAGTGTATGGAGTGACCAAACTACACATCTTCACCCAAAGAAAAGGGCTGTAAATCGATCTAAGTAAATTGGACCGTACTATACGGTGGGTCCACCAAGGATTATATTGGATCCAAACACAGAAGAAGCTCCCTTATATTGCTTGTGTTTCTATAAAGTACAAGACTTGTTTTGCAAGCAGCACTTGCCGACAGTGAAATGCCTTTCAAAAGTTTTTACTCCCTTGTCGTGATATTCAACTGCGAAACCAAAATTAATACACATGGGAGATTTGAATGAAGCCGATGCCTCTTCCAATTTTCCTCCGTCAAATTGTGGTTTTATGTTTCCCGTGTCCCTGACCTCCAATTTAAAGCCACTGTAAGCGAGTGTGATCGCAAAAAGCACACACACACACACACACACACACACACACACACACACACACACACACACACACACACACACACACACAGTGTCGATTCAAAGACCAAAAACTGCAATTCATAAGGCATATTCTACCTAATAGAGTGTATGGTATTGTCCCATCCCTTCTTTCGACCATAATAATAGTTTTGGAAATGCAGGTCATGCAGACAGCCTACTGAGAGGTCATCGTTTATCACAAAGCTGTGAGCTGTGATTAATGAGCATCACCTGGTCTATTGACAAACTTAAGTATGTTCTTTATTAGGGGAAGCACACCCCAGGCTGAAAACCTTCAACACTACCAAATTGGCGCACGCGTGCGCACACACACACACACACACACACACACACACACACACACACACACACACACACACACACACATACACACACACAGAGACAAAATTGTAGTAAACCAAACTCAGATTTCTGTAGTTATATTATTCCATTTTAAAAATTAATGACTGTATCATCAGTGTGGTAATGAAACTCAACTTTTAAAAAATTATCAATGAATATTGAACCCATTTGTTTCCGTCTTCATCTACACAAAGTAACTATCTGTTCAGATGAAAGTTAATAATGTGTTACAACCCAGCAGTTAGGCTTTGGGCTAAATCAAATAGGCGTTAATGTAAGAACGGCTTCAAGGTGCATGTTTGTGTAATTTGTTGCCAAGATGTGTGTTTAATTTCTACTGTCTCAGAATGACAGCTCTTGGGGCCACAGACATGTGTGCAGCTGTGACTGGGGCATGTCAGTGGCATTATGTGTATTATAATGGATGAGGAAGGCCTTGTGGTCCCCAGTGAGAGTCACGAGATGCATAAAACCTGCTTGCACTCCTGATGCTGCCACCACTCTCTCACAAATGTTGGGATGTGCATTTGTGGCCCCGGATTTGGAGGGTGATTACCATTTTTCACTCAACGGTGCGCTGCTTAGGAAAGACTTCTTTTGCGCCCTGTTGATCTTGAGGCAAAGAAGGGAGCGCCAACAAGAGGAACACAGACACACACACGAACTGAAAACAATTATACAGTATATAATACAGACCCTAAACTTCATTAGAATGACTTCACAGACAAGGAGTGGTAAGTCTGAACTGACAAACTGTATATTTCTGTGATGATAACGATCATTTTCTCTTTCCAGGTTCACCGCTGTCTCAAAGCTGTAAATTACCTACGATGGGTTGCACAAACTGTCCATCGTTATCAAGCACTAGGGTCCCACCAGTGAATAAGGTCAGAGTTCAGCTGGAGATGCATGCACTTTGGCAGCAGTTTGATGAGCTAGGTACCGAAATGATCGTCACCAAAGCCGGAAGGTAACATTTCGCCAAATTTATACTTGTTGCTTCTGCTTGAAATCCCTTGTGACGCCATTTCTGTTCAAAAATGGCAGGAGGATGTTTCCAACATTCCAGGTGCGAATCTTTGGAATGGATCCTGCTGCTGAATATGTTCTACTTATGGATTTTATTCCTGTCGATGATAAAAGATACAGGTAAAAAATCACAAAATTAAGCATAGATATTCGCTATGGTGACTGAGATCAATAATGATCAATAATAATCTAATCTGCTCTTAAGCAAACTTTCTTGCATTATGAATTAGGTTGTAATGCGTGAGTGTGTGTGTGTGTGTGTGTGTGTGTGTGTGTGTGTGTGTGTGTGTGTGTGTGTGTGTGTGTGTGTTTCTCAGATATGCGTTCCACAGCTCATCCTGGTTGGTGGCAGGTCGAGCTGACATTTCGGCACCAAGTCGAATGCACTTCCACCCAGACTCACCAGCTCGTGGAGCCCAGTGGATGAAGCAGACTGTATCCTTTGACACTCTCAAGCTGACCAACAACCTGCTTGATGACAATGGACATGTTAGTTTTTGTCGCTGTGTTTTAGGGATCTTTTTTTTTACATGAAAATTATACAAGTCTTTGGTCAAGATGTTTTTTTCCTTTTCCCGGCCAGATGATACTGAATTCTATGCATCGGTACCAGCCACGTTTCCATGTAGTGTATGTGGATACAACACCCAACAGCCATTTAAATGCAGACAGAAACTTTTGCTCCTTCTCCTTCCCCGAGACACGCTTCATGGCAGTCACTGCCTATCAAAACCACAGGGTAGGAAAACCAAGACATATTTGAAATCAAAGTTTCACAGGATTAGGCGATGTTACTTTACTTTTACCACTCTGTGACTGAACCATCTAATCTATCTTTCTGCCAGATCACTCAGCTGAAGATAGCCAGCAATCCATTTGCTAAAGGCTTCAGAACAACAGACACACAGGATTGGTTAGTGATAGTGTGGAATTCATCCAGAGTACATTTTGCCTCATGAAGAAGGTGTCAGATGAATGCTTTGTGTGAAAACAGGGGAAACATTTCCAAGCCTCTTGGCGTGTGGTATCCACCAGAGGACGTGACTGCGTGCAGTATCACAAACGCAGTGAGGGAAAGGGACTTAAAAGAGTCAACGGGTGAGTGCAATACTGTGTTTCTATGTACTGTATGTGGGTGTACTATATTATTCATTGTAATATTTGTAACATGCAACATCTAGTTTTTCATTTTGGTGTTTTTTAATTAATAACTTAATTTCATCATTAATTACGTAATTAACTGTTTTCAAACCTAATATAAAACAACGCAAATTATTTCCTGCATTTTCAGCACCGGAGGCGACCTCGCATCTGATGAAGCAGAGTGGACAGTTTTGCAACTTTACAGATGCAATGGTAGCAAGCAACAATGGAAACATTGCTTTTGGAACTCCAGCTTCCTTCCACAACCGTTTACCGTCTTACTGGGAATGTGTCGGATCATCTCAGAGCAACAATGTGTTGTAGAGAAAGTTTTCAGTTGGAACTTGGCCTATATCCTGCAAACATTATTATTCAGCTGTATTGTATCATCGTATTGCTGTGACCAGTACTGGGAAATGGCAAGATATAAATGCATACTACAGTTCTACTTTGTGTACTGTGCATTTTTTTGTGCATTATTTTTTTCAGTAATCTGTAATTTACTTGAGCATCTATTTTTCTGATAACTTTTTTCTTTTACTCTCTACATTTCAAAATACAAATCGTGATGCGTTTTAACTTTTTTTACAAAAAAAAAAGGCTCATGACTTTTTTCATGATGGTAAAGATTTTGATTGATTGAGATTTTAGGGTCGGAAAAAAATAAGGACAGCGACACATGGAGGAATGTGAATCAGGCAGACTTTTTTCATTATGGTAAAGATTTTGATTGATTGACATTTTAGGGTCGGAAAAAAATAAGGACAGGCAACACATGGAGGAATGTGAATCAGGCAGTATTAAACGACAATGGCAACAAATTTGGAGAAGCAATGTATTCCCCATTCACAGCCCTACTAAAGAGAATTGCCAGAATGTTTCTTGGCAAATGTGATGTCTTGTGTCAGCCTAAAAACCTTCTCGCAATCAGATATTTGTTGTCTAGTCTGAAAATAACACATACAAGATGTATGTTTTCAATTGTTCTCAAGAGCTAATTTAAAATTTTTGTAACTGGCTTTATCACATTAACAAAGCTATGGGAAACATAGCTCTCACTAACTCTCAACAAATTTCTGAAACATGTAATTTGATTTTTATTGTCACCTATCGCAGATCACTTTTATTTTGAAAATTCTCGCAGGAAGTCAGTGCCGCTTTTCCAGCGAGTAAATGATGCTGGGGCTCCGGAACCTGAAGATGCAGTAGGGCGGATGGAGGAAGACTGGGAGGTGGCTGGAGGCGGTGAGCAAGAAACGAATCGGTAAGGGGCACGGATGCGAGTGCGTCAACCCGTCGGACAGCGTCCATGGTAGCCGCAAAAGGTAAAGAAGGGCGTAACGGGTGTAAAACTAATTTTCGGTGAGGTTCATAGATGGCGAGGCACTGACCAGTGGCTGAACTAGACTTTAATCGTTCAATCAACATCAATTCTTATCCATCCATCCATCCTTTTTATAACCCGCTTAACCTTACAAGGGTCGTGGGCATGCTGGAGCCTGTCCCAACTGTCTTAGGGCTGTAGGCAGGGTACTCCCTGAACCCGTAGCCAGCCAATCGCAGGACACACATTGACGAACAACCATCCACGCGCACATTCACACCTAAGGACAATTTAGAGTGTTCCTGCCCCCTGCCCTGCCTGTTTTTGGTATGTGGGGGGAAAACCGGAGTTCCCTAAGGACAATTTAGAGTGTTCCTGCCCTGCATGTTTTTGGTATGTGGGGGGGGAACCGGAGTTCCCGGAGAAAATCCACGCAGGCATGGGGAGAACGTGCAAACTCCACACATAGAACCCTCCACCTCTGCAGTGTGAGGCGGATGTGCTAACCAGTGGAACACTGTGCCGCCCATCCATTTTTATATTAAATCAGATTTGTCCTGCTTCACGGTTTTGCACTTTTTTCTCCACACAGGAAGGCTGGAGCCGGAATAGAACCCTCCACCTCTGCAGTGTGAGGCTGATGTGCTAACCAGTGGAACACTGTGCCACCCATCCATTTTTATATGAAATCAGATTTGTCCTACTTCACGGTTTTGCACTTTTTGCTGGGGTTTCTAGTACCAATTAACCATGAAAAACGAGAGATTTCTGTTTAATCAATTTTGGAACAAGGCTGCATGATAACAAAATGGAGAAGGTGCTTAATTATAGCATACTATGTACCGAACATAATTCTGCGGTTCCATGTAACTTTCATTCAGTAACGTTTTGCCTAACTGCAAAATATGATACTCACATCGAGACCAAAGAGGAGCCAGGTGGCACTGGGATTTGAATGGGCAACTCGAGAGGGGTACAGGGTTCAACGGGAGACAGAGCGGAAGGACATTCAGGGCAACAGGAAACATCACTGGGGACATTATGAAAGAGGACAAACTAGACTGTGTGCTGTCGGAGGTGATGAATGGGTTCAAATACACTGCAGGGTTTCATGCTAACTTTTTTTCACAAGGAGCACAATGACACCTAAACTGCAATTTTAGTGGTGGCAGTCGACTTGGTTGAGTAAATACACACTCCACTCATTTTCACTACATTACTGATGAATGAGCTGAAGTGTGGAGCATATGTTTGTCAACCACAAAAAATATTCCAGAATAATTTTTCAAAATATCTGCAAATTTTAATGACAACTTGTTGAATTCCCTTTCCAGCGAAACCTCTTTTGTGAATACTGACCCAGTTGTTCCTGAGATATCAAATCTGATTTCTCCCATGCTGAACCGCATCGAATTTGGATATGTATCGAATCGCCCTCAGACATGGAGATTATTCTCACTTTTAAGACATGCATACAGCACTACGTCATTACTAAAATGGTCATGGTGGTTTGCAATCCACCGAGTGCTAACGCATTGTCGAGGTAACATTTTGATACAAGTCCCGAATCGCCCTCAGACATGGAGATTATTCTCACTTTAAGACATGCATACAGCACTACGTCATTACTAATATGTGGTGAACAATGGTCATGGTGGTTTGCAATCCACCGAGTGCTTATGCATTGTCGAGGTAACATTTTGATACAAGTCTTATCCTTAGATCTCACTGAATTATCCATCCACTTTTGTTTTTTATGAGCGTATTTGAACATTAATTCTGTTTTTCTCCACTCACCAGCTGAACATACTGGTGGATACAGGAAGCAGTAACTTTGCTGTTGGGGCAGCTGCTCATCCATTCCTGCGCAGATACTACCATCGCTCACTGTGAGTATCGTCAAATCATCAGCAGTAGAAATACACAATATCTTGCCTACTTTATTTATTCATTATACTTGACTGTAGGGCTTGGCGATAGGGCCTTATAATTGAGTCTCCAATGATATTCAAGTTTGGCATTAGCATTATCAATTTCTTACCAAACCAGCTGAAATATTTTTTTCCCTGAGCATTTGACTTGCATGAACTTCTGCAGAAATTAAATTTTTTTTTTCTTTTTGGATATTGCAAAAATACGTTTTTCCTCTTGGAAAAAAATTGCTTCCTTTGATCCTTGACAAATGAGCATTTTAAATGTTCAATAATTAAACGTAATAAAATGAGGCATGACCCATGACACTGCATGGAGAGTAACGCCGCACACCCTCCAGGTCTCTCATGGTCTTTTCTCATGCATAGTGGTACAGGTGAGGCAGGCAACTTCTGCAAAATATGTTTGGCCTGGAAGCACTCGAATCAAAAGAGCTATCATTCTAATAATTGTGATACCTTGATGTTTTGCTTACGATTATCTTACTGTCAGAAAATTGATTTAAAAAATTAATTCTGTGGTGGAAAAAAAAAGCCCCTTAAATTAATCTGAAATCGATTAATCGCCCAGCCCTGCTCAACTGTATTATTTTGGTTGCATGCATTATAGTACACACAGATCCAATCCATGCACTTGATGAATATCAGTGATTATATGTCCTTTGCTGTCCACAGCTCGACATCTTACCGTGACCTTGGAAGAAGCGTGTATGTTCCTTATACCCAGGGTCGATGGGAAGGCGAGTTGGGTTCGGATTTAGTCTCTGTTCCACACGGCCCCAATGCCACGCTCCGTGCCAACATTGCTGCAATCACCCAATCTGATCGCTTTTTCATCAATGGATCCAACTGGGAAGGAATTCTTGGACTGGCTTATGCGGATATAGCACGGGTATGTGCACTGATCCTTGATTTTCCTCAGTTTTGGTCAAATAAATTGGGTCAAATATCCGTTTGTAATTTTTTTGAGATTATGGCCACAAAGGCCATTGCAGCAAAATAGTTAAAGAACAAAAATAGCTTCAGCTGTGAGAAGCTATAGAGGGCCCTTGCAGGCGGGGTACTGGCCGGTTGCTATACTGGCACCATGGGAATAATCACAGCCGGGGTAGAAAAGTTGTCAAGGCACTGGTGAGATATTTTTTGAAACTGGCTAAAAAATAAATAAAAAAAAAAACAGGATGCAGTAGAAACAGGCAATGGTTAACATTTGACCACAGCCTCAAAAACAGAACTGTGCTTAACTCTGAACAAATATGGCAGTTTTTGGAACTTTGCCTTCATACCACATATTTTAACTTCCAGGGAACATTTGGAGACAAAAACATGCTATAGGTTTTCTGGTGTCTCCGATCCGTGCAAAAATGTACAAGGAGGACATGGAAACGAGGGCTCTGAGCTCTTTTAACAGAACAACTCAGTGGTTTTGATACTGTGTGTGGATATATCAAAAGCCTTCACCACACACAATAACTGAACAAGTGACTCAATGATTCTACCTCTGACGAACAATAAAAACACAGTCCCCCATGACTACAGAAGTACCTCTCTACCTTTTTTGCAACTGATTGGAATATTGAAAAGGGATTTTCCACCCAACTACCAGTACTTGTTGACCGACAGAAGCCTCTCTCCAAGGCGTCTTCACAACCGTCGTTTACATCACTAAAGAACGTTAAGGGGTGCCTTCAACTTGGAGCATAAATAGTTGCGTTTCCACACCAACTCAGGCTGGTCTGTGCTAATCAGAGCAGGCCAGTTATGATCAATTCACTGATTTGAGAAAGAAATCCTGTGGATGAATGAGAATATCCATAAGCATAGGGATCTTGATGCAGTAGCTGCTCTGGCCCTAATTTAAAACGTTAAGAGTCAAAGAAAAAGGCAAGCAGAATCACATTTTTTCCTGCTGCCTTGAAATTTAAATTTAAAAAGTTGGAGTAATTTACATCTTTCCTCAGCCTGACGAGCGACTGGAGCCTTTCTTTGATTCCCTGGTTCGCCAGACGCCTGTCCCCAACCTCTTCTCTCTCCAGCTATGCGGTGCTGGCTTTACCCAAAACCACTCTCTGGGCAGCGCCACCGTTGGAGGAAGCATGGTAAGACACCTGCAGCACTGATACAAACACGGCAATATATAGTGTCATCCGGTGTCAGATGCATGGCCAATGCAGCATGTTTACCCTGTAGATCATTGGAGGCATCGACACATCCCTCTATGTGGGAGAGCTTTGGTATACTCCCATCCGTAGGGAGTGGTACTATGAGGTCATTATTGTGCGAATTGAAGTGAATGGACAGGACCTCAACATGGACTGCAAGGAGGTAAGATGTGACGCACGGATCGCTATAATAAGTTTTTAAAAAATGTTTTTAGTGGCGTGTCGCTGATTTCAAAAGCTATTTGCTATTTCTTTATCCTTTACAGTACAACTACGATAAGAGCATTGTGGACAGTGGCACCACGAACCTCCGACTACCCAGAAAAGTCTTCCAGGCTGCTGTCAAGGCTATCGAAGCAGCTTCCTCAGTCAGTCCCCAAATTATTGAAATTTGTCTACAGATAGGTGTTAAATTGAAAGGAAAAACTGATAGATGAGCTGACCTACAAAATGAATTCAGGTGGTTTCATACGGGTACTATAAAGGTTCGACTTTCTGGTGGGGGCTTTCAGGTAGTATTGCAGGTGTCTTCCGTTCCTGCTCCTGCCTCAACCATGTAAATATGAAGCTATAGATTGATTGTCCTCATTTCCTGCCCTGTATTTCAGACAGAACAGTTTCCATCTGGGTTCTGGCTAGGCGAACAGCTGGTGTGTTGGCAGGCCGACACGACACCCTGGAACATCTTCCCAGTCATCTCTCTCTATCTGATGAGTGAAAACCGTAATCAGTCCTTTAGAATCTCCATCCTGCCCCAGGTAAAGACACAGAATATTTGCCTTGCGTCACCATGTTGCATGTGTTCTGGGCTTTTATCTCTTGAAGTTAAAGCAACTGATTAAGGCTGTCGCGAATGAATCTTTTTAGAATTGATTATCAATAATTAAATCGTTTACTCGGGCAGTTGTCCACGAAAATATATGGTGCAATTATAGAAAATAACACTTTTTGGCGGTGGAATTTATGAGTGCTTTTTGTGGTAACTTGACTCGTACTGTAGCAGATGAAACATTTCTGGAAAAGTCCTGGAAAGTAATTTTAAGAAAAGAGGAGGAACTTGGTCTTGTTTTTTTCTTTTTGTGCTTGACAACAAATTTCAATATTAACTGAGTGTGTGCATCTGCAACAAATGTCCGTGCGGGAAGCATGGACAGGGACTCAAAGATGTTTCCGAATGGCCTAAATGCAGTTTAGAAATTATGAATCATAGTTTCCAGGCATAAATTTTAGTGTCGACCAATATGTGGTCAAGTTAGCTATAGCTGTAATATACCGCAAATGTTCGCAACCTACACGTTAAGTGTACCACTTGGTAAAAGTGTCATGCTATATATTTTGTATCTTTTTTTTCTATACAGCAATACTTGCGGCCAGTTGAGGACGTAGCTTCTGCTCAGGAAGACTGCTATAAGTTTGCTGTGTCCCCATCTAGCACTGGCACGGTTATGGGGGCAGTTATCATGGAGGGATTCTATGTGGTGTTTGATCGAGAAAAGAGCCGAATCGGTTTTGCTATAAGCACATGCCACGGTGAGTAAGACAGAATGGAGTCACGGGGAGCTGAGGGCTTGAAAGAAGCATGCCTTTTTGATGGATGAAAAAGGTTTCGTTTTTGAAAATCCGAATGAGTCGGTTTCACTGACAGACAACCTGAAACACCTCTGAATTGGATAAAAATCCCCAAATGAAGGTTTTAGAGTTGCCAAATCAAAGTGTAGACTTGAATCCAATTGAGATTTTGCGTGATGATGGTATTTGGTGGTATGTAGTATACCTTAAGCAGGCTGTTCCTATTAAAATAAGCTCTCCATTGTGAGTCTTTGAAGCATGGGTCAACATTTCTTTACAGTGATGTGAAATACTCATCCGGAGTTGTTACAAATGCTTGATTTCAGTTAGTGCTGCAAAGGATGGCACAAGGAGTTATTAGGTTCAAGGGGCAATAACTTTTTTTTTTTGCATAGGGCCAGATAGGTTTGGATTTTTGTCACCCTCAATAAGTACTGTAAAATTATAATTTTGAACCGGGGTTTAATATTATTTTTTCTTGTCCTTTGTGAGATGTGAAGAATGGTTTTAAGATCATTCACATTTAAATATAAGAAATGTGTGAAAATAAATAAATCGGGAAAGGGGGGAATGTTTTTTTTCGGGCTTTGTATGTCTGTAAGCTTGTATTTTTTTCTCCTAATCACATTCCACTCCACTCTACCATTTTCAGTTCATGATGAGTTTCGCATTACCTCTGTGGAAGGACCTTTCTTCGGTATTGACCTGGAGGACTGTGGCTACAACATCCCCCAGACAGACGAGTCCACTCTTATGACCATTGCCTACATCATGGCGGGTATCTGTGCTCTCTTCATGCTGCCGTTGTGTCTCATGGTGTGCCAGTGGCGCTTTGCTCGCTGCCTTCACCCGCAGGGCGACTTCTCTGATGACATATCACTTCTCAAGTGAGCTGGTGAACTGGAGGACGAAGGGTATCGCGGAGCCCACACATTAGCTGGGTTTATATGGAGCCTTGTAGTCCGATTAAAATGAAACCGAATGACTAAACGGAATGAAAATGCTCCTTATAAACACCTCACTCATAATAAAAAGGCCCAATCGGAGTGGAATTTCATTCGGGTTCACAAGGGTGGTATTTTCGTTTTGCCAATCCAACAAATGTCATGTCAACAGTTCAGTGGGAATAGCCAGGCTGTGTCCGGTCTGCACATGTTGTGTCTTGATGTAAATGCGTAGTGACATTTACGCAGTTGAAAATGGCAGCGTCCTACCAGAGCTCGGGTGCAACAGGAGAAATTGTTTTAAACTACTTGTAACTTGTTTTTATTAAGATAACGCTTTAGTAAAAGTGTCGCAACAATCACAACTACTGTGCTAAGTAGATAAAAATTGTGATGTTTACATCGATATCCGCATGTCACATGGCTCTAAAACGACTGTTCTGATTCATGTAATGGGGCACGTAAGCGACGGACCAGAATAGATCACGTCACGTGAACAGTTGAACACAGATCTTCAGTCGGAATTATTTCAATTGGAAGGTCTCCATGTAAACCCAAAAAAGGGATGCAAGTTGTGCGGTGTTACAAAGTAAAATATTTTTCAGCAAAATAATCTGGAAAATAGATTGCAAGATCTAAAGGGAATTCACTCTACACTAAAAAGCACTTTGACTCTTGCTTTTGGGATTGGGACCGCTCCATCTTTGTTGTACGTACTTTAAAATAGTATGGCTGGTTGTCGTGGTGATGCTAAGAGAAACTGCTGTGCAATCGCTTATTAACTGGAGGCTCGCTGCGTGGGCAATGCAAAAATAATTAAAGACATATTTATGAGAAAACTAAACCATTTGAAAGATAAGTTTGTCCTAGGATAAGGCACAGGTCTGTGATGGCAAAAATGATATGAATAGAATGGTTTATGTTTCACGCAGGCTCCTATGCAGATTTATATATTAAAAAAGGATGAAAAAGCATTCAAAAAGGAAAAAAGTAGCTTTCAATATCTATATATCATTTCAATGTATAATAAATACTTTTATAGAAACAGATATTTATTAGATGCTCATGGTGGCCCTGAAGTGCGAACCACAGCAACCAATAATTAAGCCCAACAACGAATGAAAAAAATAACTAACCAAACAACAAAAAATAATTGACAACAAAACAGGAAAGCACCCCCCCCAAGATTTAACCCGCCCAAGTGTATCGACCTTTGTTTTTTTAATTGCTCTTTCTTTGCAATTGTTTTTGCTTTTTGTTGTTTTGTTTTATTTATTTGGTTTTATTTTATTGTTTAGTTTGTTGTGTATTGATTTGGGTTTTTTTTTTCATTTGCTCTTGTGTTTTGGGTTTTTTGTTTTTGTTTCATGTGTTTTTTGTTTTTTTGTTTGTTTTTTTTTAAGTTATTCATTTTTGTGTTTTAGGATATGCTGCTGTGTTTAGCTTTTTGTGTTGTGTTTTGCCCTTCAAGGCCACCATAGATGGGGAACCCAAGAGAAAAATACTACAGAGCTTCATGCAATGAATTGACCACGATGTTTACAGAGCAAAGGAAGACATAATTGACAGTGTGCGAAATGGCATGTTTATCTGTGTGTGATTTTGGTGGGTTTTCTGATCTTCTGTCACTTGCTTAGGACAAAAACGAATGAGACGAGCATGTCTGCGTTTGTTCGCATGCTCGCGTGCAGCTGTCGTATTCAGACAGATTAAATAAATTAAACTATGAAACATTATATAATGACATCTATTAAATTACACAATATCCCTAACCCCACCAAAGAATTCTTAAGAAAAACTGTCTTATATCACATTGTAGTCTGTTTTGCTTGAAACTACTGAACACAGTGTCAGTACTTGATGTCACTTATTGTACTCTTATCTTAAGTGTATCTATTGCACATGCAATTAGTTTTACAGATCTGCAGTCCAACACATTTTCTTATTGTTGCAAAGAAAGTCTGCATTATTGCACATCATCGATACCGTCTCTTAAGTGTTACCAATCTAAAACCTTTGGGGCTTTTTTCATGACACAAACAGTCCAAGGCAATACTCAATGACGAGAGGCCCAGAAACCAGCTCAAAAACATGTTATACAGGATGTCAGTCACAGTCATAATTTTTCCAATGAAGTACATGTTCTGTCATGTTTTTCTTGTTATTTTTTGCACTACAAGAAAGGTATGTGCAGGCACAGCATATGCTAAGATCTGGACATATGCAATTATTTAAAATGAATATGAAAAATACTGGAAGTAATTTTTGAAAATGAAAGTCTTGTGACATTATCCTTACCTAAATACATTTTAATCCAGAATATGTGTGTTGCCTCCCTTTGTGTGTGTGTTTATGAATTTAAACCCACGTTTGTGTATGATTCTCTCTCTCTCTCTCTCTCTCTCTCTCTCTCTCTCTCTCTAGCACCCTCGTGACCGAAAAGCAGCTCAGATGATGATTTAATTCACTATTAAATTAAAATATTTATTTGGTAACACATAATGAATGGATAATGTAATATGTCGAAAAAAAATATACACAAGCGACATAAAAAAGACAAGGCAGTAACAATAGCAGGCACAGTAAGTTCATTCGAGATCAGTGAGCTATAACTCACTATGGAATTACAATGTACAAATAATTGTCTAGCTCTTTGTTAATTTCTAAATGTTTACCGAGAGATTAAACTCTACAACAAATATTAGAAAATTTAGAAGGAAGTGCGTACACGTTAACGAATGACGAACATCCGTATGACGTCATACGTACAAGTAGTGACCTGTTACGTATTGCGGAAATGACCGGCGCAACCGTACAATTGAGTCCATCATAAGACTACCGTACTGTTCATACACATTTCACCAGAGACACGAGAGGAACGATTTGCATTTGGAGGTAATTAACGACACAGCTTTTAATTTGTAAATAGTAATGACTGCTTCTTTATCTATTAAAAGACAAGGAAATGGACGGCGCTTGTACAGTCGACTGATAAAATACTGTCCACTACTTAACTGTTTTGCTGATAAACTTCCGCAGTTGGAACATTGTAAGACACTTATTGAAAAAAACACCAGCTTCCTTCCCGCAGTTAGCTGTCTAACCCCCTTGTGGCTTCTTGTCTGACGAGAAATGCCAAATTAAATGTTAGATGGCTTTTCAGTGAGCTAGACATACAGTAATCGTTTAACATACGTAGCTCCAAAGCCATTGAAAACTTCACAACATTAGAGTGTCGCAGCAGTTTTTAGAGCATTGCCTGGGTCTCTAATTGACTATAAGACAAGATATTTTCAACTGCCAGTTGTTATGGAGCCTTTGATTTTCAGAAGTACCCTGTACAATACATTATGTCCCACGCTCTGGAACGACTCGCGTCTCTGTAGCTCTATAAGAGTGAATTACTTTTGATTTATTTATCAGTACAGACACTGCTTGGAATACAAAGCACTAAACAGAGATTGAAAAATATCATTAACTTGTTTTTATGTCCTCATTCGTGTTAGTAAATCCTCTCTTACGTCGAGACCATGTCACTTTTTACGAGTTAAAAAAAACAGCTTGACAGCATAGTGTAAATTTCATTCCACCTCATGATTGTGTCCCACATGCTGTTGATTCTTCACACACACACACACACACACACACACACACACACACACACACACAAAAGTCTTATTTTATATCTTCGTTTGAAACCTGAAATGTGGTAAAAGGTCAAACTGTCACAAGACACTATGTTGATCCAGCCCTTCTTTTCAAATTGCCACTGACCAGGACTTTTGTCCTCTCTCTCTCTCTCTCTCTCTCTCTCTCTCTCTCTCTCTCTCTCTCTCTCTCTCTTTTTCTCACATCCAGCTTAATGTTCAGATGAGGTCTCGCCCAGTTGACCTTCTTGTCATCCTTTTCTGTGATGGCAACTCTCCATTTTACCGCCTTCATTCTCCTCCTGTTTCTCTCCACTTTTGCTCTTTTACTTCTGACCCATCTGCAGTCCGGCATCCAGTCATTTCCTTTTCAGTCACCTTCAGCGCCATCCTGTGATCCAGGTCAGTCATGGGCTGTCAGACTCCATGCTGACCCACATCATGAGGATGAACTGGAATGTGAGGAGCTTGATGTCATTGCCAACCAGGTGCTTTTTTTTCCATACAATGTAATGACAGTGCAATGTCAACAAACTGTTGTCTCTGTTTCTTTACTGTTACAGTACATGTGCAACTAACTAAGGAATACTCATTCATAGTGTTATAAAAGAGAGTTATGTGTGGCGCAGAGAACACGTTTGCCAAGAATAAAGAGACATCCTTTATGTTCGTTACATACACATTCGCTACCAGTCATGTAGAGCAGTACACATTTTTCAGTATTTTGCCCATTGAAAATAAATAATATTAATAAACAAAATGAGGAATCAAATTAAAGAAAAACAAATCTGCGTTTTTTATATGGAGCATTTACCACAATATAGTGGAGCTCCTTTGACAGGCCTTTAAGCTTTTATACAGAACAAAATATTGAACAAAAATAACAATTAGACTCACTGGAGCAGTTTTACTTTCTTTTCATCAGTCATCTGAGCTTTAATGAGACGTGAGCTGCCGCACAGCTTTTGTGATTCTGGTGCAGCTGTGCCGCAGGTTATTGAACATGGAAATACACTGTTAAATGTTTCCACGTACCACTTGCAATGTGCTCACGCACACCCAGAGGTACCTGTACCAACCCCTGGTTGGGAAACAGTGATGCAGAGAATTGGAAGCATTTTAGCGAATCATGCAGCAGCTACCTCTTTCAGACTTTCTTTTTGCCAGCACAATGCCACTATTTTCCTACAGTATGTTTCAGGCCTAAACCAAAACAGATATGCAGGACAGTCACATCCACTCCCACAGCAAGAAAAGATCTCGACACTGCCTGCCCAACCGCTTGTATATACTGGAATAGTCAACAGTAGCTTCAACAAATGTGGCTTGTTCTTTGAGTTTCACTTCCTGTCTTTTCTTATTTGATGTATGGTCTTGTCAGGCATCACAATTCGCAGCGGATGTGGTTTGAAATTGTCTGTGTGGGAGGAGCTCAATATTGATCTACATTTGTACTTCATCTTCCTCTGTACTTTCACCATTCCAGGTGGCAGAACAGGCTGGGCTGCACAACCGGGGCCAAATTGGACACTTAGAAGGCCACTACTTGCTGTGTTCTTCTCATCCTGGTGCTAATGTTTGGAGGAATAATCTCCATCCTGGGAAAGTGCTGGCAAACCACCCTAATGTCCTTTGGTACTCCCAGGAGAGGGTGCTCAGCCGCTCGAAAAGATCTATGGCTTTTAATGACCCCCATTACCCTAAACAGTGGCACTTGGTGAGGCAACGTAATTATAGTATATACATTACTGTTTCATTCTGTGTAAATGATGTCACAATGTGTGCTTTGCACAGGTGAAATTTGAAATGCTCACAAGCACTAAGCTAAACGTGTTAGGCCCAAATAAATACCCCATATTTATATACATCATTAGCTACAATTGTCTTCAGACAACACATTCTTCTTGTTTACTTTAATCTATGTCCTCCCTTTGCATTACATGCTTGCATTGAAGCACAATGGTGTTAATAAGGACATGGACATTAATGTGACCGGCGTATGGGAGCACAACATCACTGGCCAAGGAGTCACCGTGGTGGTGGTCGATGACGGGGTACAACACACTCATAAAGACCTCGAACCCAATTATGTAAGTCACTGTAATTCATTCTATTCACCGCAGTAATTTCTTAACCCAATTACGCTGGGGAACACAATTTTTTTTTGTTGAGTTAGGTCAGACAGCTTTTTTTAAACCAATTTTTGCGTGCGAATCCAAAACTGATCTTGGTTTTTGAGCTATAGGATCCCCAGTTTCTTAAAAAATATGAAATACTGGAAAATGGAATAATTAACAGCTTTTAAAGCAAAAAAAAAATGCTATTGTGACTGCACAAACAAGTTGCTACATAGCTGTAGATGAGGCCAATCATAATCAGCTCTTCTTACCACACCTAATCTGTGGAATTTTGCTAATCTAAATGGATGGGTCCAGTAGTGTTTTCCTCACACGCAGTGGATAGTTGTATAAATGAATTTTCAAATGAATATGTATCAACTGAATCAT